TGATGATTTAACAAATATTTTTGTGGACAGAGTTTGGAGAAGTAGTAATTGGGTTAGAACCAGAAAGAAACGCTGAAAGGGAAATTTGGAGGTGTAACTAATGGAACGGATAAATGCCCTGAAGGCAGCAGTGCTTGAGGCCAGAGACAACACCAACGGAGAAAGAAATGTGCACCTGCTGTGTTTCCCTATTTCTAATTTCAGCATCAATTTCTTAATATCTAAATATTCTGAATGCTATAGACAATCTGTTCCTATATACCAATTCCATTTCAATAGAGTACTAATAGTATTTATTCGTAAAAATAAAGTAATTTTCATAGATGGGAATTTCAGACCTAGAAAACAGGCATTGTAGAGGTGATACATATCACACTTCTTGTAGAAAGTATGTTCCTCTGCAGTTCAGCACCATTTTAATTATCATTAAACCCAGTAATTAAACCTTCGTGTCTCAAAATATAAGACCCATGCAGGATAAAATATATGTGATTTTCATTTGAGCTCTTCTAGGGTCAATGAAAGAATAAGTAACACCATGGTATGTGTGAGGAACCGCAGCTAGATCTATAATAAGCAAACACAGAAGTAATGGAATTTAAAAGGTATTAAGGAGTACAGATGACAAAATAGTTGAAAACCATAAGAGTGAAAAGGTTGGTAATCTTGTAAAATCCTATCATCCTTGAGCCTGTAATTTACACATTTTTCCAACCCATTTCAGTTTGCATTCTGAATTCATAAGTCTGGGTTAGAATTCTATTTGCTTGAAGTTCATACTGTGGGGGACGAGATGAAATCATGTGTACAACTAGGATAAATATAGCAAAAATCATCTAGTAAGGCTATGTAACAAAAAAGAAAAAAAGAAAGAGAATGAAAGTATAACCATGTTGCATGAATCCTGACCAGCTCACTATCAAAAGCTGAAACCCGATGTAATCTGACATTGCACCAAAATTGAATTTTTATTTAAAGCAAGAAAATGGAATCTTCTGAGAGATTTGATGGAAAATTCTATATTCGCAATATTTCAGTTTTCATCTTAATGTTACTAGTTAATGAGTTATATTGGAAATTGTGCTTCCATTCTCTTAATACCAACAATGACTTGATAAATGTTATATTTATGTTTAATCCTTTCATGGAAGAAAAAAAAAAAAAACTCCAAAAGACTCATTACTCTCACTCAAGAGATTTATCTTCTAAATTCCCAAAGAACCAGCTTTTTTTTTTCTGTAGTAGAACTCCAAACTATCTTCTACAACTTATCTGCACAGTATATTTTGACTACGTGATCCTGAATTAATAGACACATGAGGTTATATGTACCCTGAAACAATTCATTGATAAATTATTCTATGAAACATTTTTTTTTTTCACAAACACATTAAAGGAACACTGTTTTCTGGGAACTGAAGTAAGGAACAATATTAAGGTGAGGAAGAAATTAGATGTATACATATTTAGACTTAAAGAATGCATAAAAGAATGAATAGCCCAACTGTCTAAACAATGGAATTTTTATGAAATTCATTTAACAAATGTTGCTTGATTACCTGCCATGGGTAAAACACTGTACTAACATTGGGTATACAAACACGGATTTAATAAGTCCCTTGACTAAGAGATAGTAAGATGTGATGGTTAATTTTGTATGTTAACTGGGTTATTACTAGACTATGGCACCTAGCTGTTTGGGCAACACCAGTCTATTTGTTGCTATAAAGTTGTTTAAAGGTGATTAACATTTATAATTGTTCTTTAAGGAAAATAGATCACCTCCCATAATGTGAGTAGTCCTCGTGCAATCAATTGAAGGCCTTAAGATTTAAGAACGAGTTTTCCATAGAAGAAGGAATTCCGCCTCAAGCCTTCCCCGTGGAAATCTGCTTGAGTTTCTAGTCTGCGTACATATTTCAGACTCAAGACTTCAATACCATTTTGTGTCTGATTTGCCGGTCTATTGGCTTCATCTGGATTTCAGACTCCAGACTATATATAGCATCCCAATATTCACTCTTAACTGAATTTCCTGTTGGCTGTCCTGCCCTGGGGTTTTCAGACTTGCTAACCCTCCCACCATCACCTGAGACAATTCCACAAAATAAAAAGATGGGGGATAAAGACAGAGACAGAGATAGACAGAGATAAGGATAGAGATAAATATAGAGATAGAGTCAGAATAAAGAGATACAGATATTAATTATATTGGTTCTATTTCTCACATAATACACAACAATTTGCTCAGGAAATTATTTTATAATTAGAAATGTAAATCTAGAAATGTAGCACCAAATAGCTTACACACTCTGAAATTGGTATCTCTCTTGTGTTTAAACACAAAACAAAATAGCTTTGCGTGAGCTTTTATTCTCAAAACTTAACATGATCAATTTCTTCTTACTTCTACCTCTGTATACTTGTATATCATGAAAGTGCCTGTGTATATATACCAATTATTTAAGTTTATCTCACACTAAGGAATAAAAAAGTAACAGAACAATATGAAATAAAAATTTATTTACTGTACTCTTTATTTCATATATATGGACTATAATAATCACATAAGAAATGTGTCTTTCTTTTTGGTATTCATTGAATACTTTTATATTCTGCATTTAACAGTTATAAGCAAGACATAGTTTTAGCCAATTCACAATTCTCTCTATTACTCTTAGTGCTTTAAAAAATATATTGGTCAGAGGCGCCTGGGTGGCTAGGTCAGTTAAGCCTCCAACTTTGTCTCAGGTTGTGATCTCACGGTTCGTAGGTTGAGCCCCACATTGGGCTCTGTGCTGACAGCTGAGCCTGGAGCCTGCTTCTGATTCTGTATCTCTCTCTCTACCCTTCCCCATTTGCACTCTGTGTCTGTCTCCAAAATACATAAACATCAAACAGATTAAAAAAATAATATAAAATAAAAAATATATTGGTCAGCTGAAATGTTTTGGTATTTTAATGTCAACATTCAAAGCAATAGAAAGGTCATAAATTTCAAACATACACATTTTGGGCGTTCCCAATAATTAAATTAACTCATCCAGAGCCATCAAAACACATTCTAAAAAAGGATATTCTTAAGACTTGCATTCAACTAAATTGCATTAAACCATTTACTGATACTCTGAAATAGCACACTTGTAATGTAAGAAGAAAATTCTTTGTCTCTAAATTTGCAGATCAAATTCAGGAGGTGATGGTTTTGAGATAAAAATTATGGATATCACAGATTATCTTATTGCTGTTAGTCGCCGAAGTTTCAAATTCTGTGATATGACAAACACATCTGTGTCAGTTAGCTACAAAACTGCTGGTCCTGTAGGAATCAGAGATATACTCTCCTACAAAATTATTTTGCTTTGATTTAAATCATTTTGATGCTACATTATCTTTGTATTAGCCCAGAATTTTCATCCATAATGCTTTTATGAAAATATGAATGTGGTATTAAACTGCATGATTTGCTTTATCACAAGCAAATATTTATATTTTCCTATATGTCTTTATTTATTTACACACACATATATGCCTTACTCAGAATGGACTTAGTATTGACATTATATGATTATAAAACAAAACAAAATTGTTTGTGTAATTTTAAATGTTTTCTTCCTTGTTAAACGATAACTTAGCAAAAATAATAATTCCATTTAGCTTATAACCGAAACATTTTTAAATTAAAAAATGTTTCATTTGTTTTAAACAATCACAGGCATATTGAATTAAATTATTTTCTTCATTTAAAATAAGAGGTCTTGGGGTGCCTGAGGGCTGAGTCGGTGCAGCATCAACTCTTGATTTCGGCTTAGGTCACGGTTCATGGGTTTGAGCCCTGTGTTGGGCTCTGCACTGAAAACCTGCTTGGAATTTTCCATCTCCCCTCACTCTCTGCCCGCCCCCACCCCCCCTCCTCTCTCTGTCTCTTATTCTCAAAATAAATTTTAAAAATTAAAAAAATAAAATAAAATAAGACATGTTTTTCCTATAAGATAGCTGGAGGGAAGCTCAATTATCTTATCCCACTTATACTTTTCTTCTCATTTTAGTGCATAAGATGTGAATTGTCTCCATACATCAACATAAGACAACACTGGCTACTGGTACGCTGAAAATAGGAGTTGAAAGTAAAAAATCTAAACAATGGAATTATTAAATATTTATTTTACTCATATCTCATGGCCATGCTAACCTTTAAAATGAGTATTGGGAGAGGATCCATGATTAGGTCTACCAATATTTTAACTTATTTGGGGCATTTGGTGCATGTCCAAACTTGTGTGGGAACACACAAATAACATAGATACCTTTAATCTTACATATTTTGGTGTATACATGTTTATGTGGAGATATATATAGACCTATGACAATGTGAACATAATTATATTTATCATCTCATAAAAATGTAATCCCTAATATGTATGATTAATACCCATTTTGTTAGATATTATTTTATTTTCAGAATGCTGTACCAATATTTTACAGAAAAAAATCTTTCTAAGAAGGGTAAGATACATATTTATAAATAAAAAAATTGATATTTTCCCATATAAATCTAAAGCATTCATTCCACTGAGACCTCATAAAAATGAGATGAAAAAAAAAAGGGGAAAGGATGAAAAATAAAGCAGCTAATATACCCCAGTTTCCCATCAGATTATTTTCATGTTATTTTCTTTTATTTTGTTAAATAACCATTGCCTACCCAGATGGGAGACATTCTAAATTAAGGAGCAGGTAAAGTTATTATGATGTGTTCATTCTACACGTTTCACTTCTATTGCCTTTATTTTAATTAGAGCAAGTAATTAGGAATATACAACATATTATTTTTCCTTCTCAAGTATAAAACCTGCATAGAATATCAGCCTGTCTCACAGTTTTAATATTTTCCTCCCCAAACTTCTCATACACGCATGGATTTCATTGTGTTTCCAAAATATAATTCTACTTAACAAATCTGCTGCATAAAACTGCATAGGAAGTTTTTAAATACTTGCCTGAAATCCAAGGAGCTTTTCACTAGGCTTAATGTGCCTCTGAAATTCACATTCTATGGGTTGTATCACTTTGATTCCATCTTCATAAAAAACATAGAACATGTTCCCAATTCCCAGACCTTAGGAAGAAAAACACATTCAGAAGTTCAAAATAAAATTATCAAAAATCTTTACAACCAAAACTCAGTGTTCCTCCCAGTACTGGCAGGAGATCGATTTGTAAAGTTGTATAATGTTAATAAAGCAAACCATATGAATCCTTTACCTTATACCAAAGCAACTTTGTGATATTATGCGACATTCTTCATGGTCTCTAATCTGCAATTCAGTGATTTCTTTAGTATAATTCAATAAATGTTTCAAATAGAAATGGAACTTATAAACTCTTTGATATATAGATTATGTCTGACACCTTCCCCACTTAATTTAGGTGTTGATTAAAAAAGAAAAATAGTTTTTGAAGAATTATATTTATTGTATATTATTATTAGAGTTCCCTAGGGAAAATAAAATTTCATTCTTTGTAGAAGTTTTGTTTACATAAAGACTTTTAGAAAGAAAAAGACCAAGTCCCCAAGATTGGGGAAAATATATTTTTTCCTAAAGTAATTTTTGTAAATATAATCATATATGAGGCTTTAGATTTCAGTTTTTACACTGGCCAAGTTTGGGATCCATTTCCATACTTTAAAATTTGTATAAATTTACGCTCTTAGGAAAATTTCAGTAAATGATTGAAATCATACTTTTAATTTATTCACACCACAGATTTGGGTATTTGATATCTCAGAAATTCATCTCACTTTACTGATCCATGCCTAATAGGTGCAGGATGCTGCAAATCAGACACTGGGAATGTGGGTAAGGTTAACTGATGCCTGCATGTGGGAGGCTTTCACATACTCCTGCACACCTGTTCTCTGTTTCCTCTGCTTCTGCTTTGTTCCATCATGGCCAGTCCTTAACACATATAGTTCTTTTTCTTCTGATCTTCACCTGAGTAGCTCCCTCTCTGGCTGTACTATTTTGCACAATTGTATGTATGTATTCAATCTAACTATAGCATGCACAATTCAATGATAGCATGACCTCTTTAAAAGATGAGTAATGATATTCAAACCTCAGTAGTTTGAAAAGCCAAACCATTATTGTTTTAAATGTTTACATTCTAAAAATATTTATAAAGAAAAAAATTTATTTAAATACAAAAAAATTCCCCAAGCATCATGTCATTTTGATTGATAACACCTGCAAGGTTTTTTATGTCAAGCCTAAGGATCATAATAAAAGTGTATTGATTCATAAAAATATTTGTTTATTCAACTTAAGCCACATTTATTCTTATCTAATATGTTCCTAGTTAATAAAAGGATCACCAATTTTGTCCATCCAGCCACATATCCATCTATTCTTATGATTTAGAGGAAAATATATTCAAATACGATTATGACTTTATTGGTGTTTATACATAGTGGTTATAATTTTCTTTTAACACCTGAAATCATTTCTATATAGTACAGTTATGCATTTTAAGTGACTCCGGATCATTTTCACACATCTTATTGTTTTATAAATATTTCCTAGTACTCATATTTTAAAATGATGCAATCTTTATCAGTTATTATGTATTATAATTCCAGAGAGCACTACAGTATGTTGGAATATTTCTGAACAGTAGCAAAAGTAGCAAAAACTAAATTCAAGTCGTATTTTTCATAGAATTTAATTCATAAATTTTCATAAAATTTAATTTTTTCATGATTTCTAATAATTTTAATATAAACTTAATATTTTTCAGAAAATAAAATTTAGTAGTTGTCAGCTCTTATTTATAATTATGTTTATACATAGATGAATATAAATTCTATGCCCAAAGGATAAAACTTTTAAAAAGTCTGATTTTATGCCAAAACAATTGATTCATATCCAAGCTTCCATGTAAGCATTAACATAGGATTGACGTGAACTACATGTTGGTGACTATCAATTTTTTTGGTTGTTGAAACTTGTAAACATAATCATGTAGTCATGTGGTGTCTAATTTTTAGTTGTGTCAGTTAACTATGTTTCATGATTGTTATAAAGCTCCCAAAATGTTTAATGACCATGACTCTCCCTTCCTTCAGCTACTGCAAAATTCTGGTCCAGAATCAGGAATCTGAATGTGTTTGAATATGAAAAATACTCTAAGTCCAGAGTGCAAAGTTTCATGAAATCTTTCTGCCCTGACTCAAATGGAATCTTTCACTATGTCACTTACCATATTCTGTATACAATGCAGTCAGTGGAATTTTGCTGAATTGTTGCACTGATGAAGTTTCTAAGATGTATTTTCCTCTAACACCTACTTAATCCATCCAAATCACTTGTTCAAATCTCAAGTCTATTTTCTTACTTTTTAAAATATAAATAACACATTCAGTGTTGTTACAAAAACAGCTGCTTCTCAGGTTACAAGCTATTGAAGAAATACAGATTTCATTATGCAAAGTTTAGTTTGTTCTTGAATTTTTTTTATTTTCAATGGAAATATAACTTTTCAGTGTTTATGAATAGTAATGCCAGCAAAATACCATATATATTAGCTAAAATAATAATTATAAAATGAATAGTTTTTAATCACTCTCTTGCTATCAATTAAAATTTTATGTATACCTTTAGAGGCATCTATGAGTTCCTCTTCTCTACACTCACAAGAGATGTGTTTTCCTTTTTCTTTTTCTGGTTAGAGAAATATTTTAAACTAAGTTTTCTTTAGGTTTTAGCAACAGAATTTATGATCTGAATATATGATACAGATGTGTTTATTTTTAAATTTACTGCTATAATATTATACATATAAACACTTATTATGATTATACTGGGCACAGAATAATAAAAAAATACCCAATAATGGAGATGTTGGTAGTTAAAGACACAGATTTTCATTTAGAGCATTCATTAGCTTTATTTATAAAGAAAATAATAATATATTTGTGTACGTTCACTATAATTATTAAGCTGTCATGACCAAACTCCTTTTTGTTGTTGTTTAGATGAGAGACAGTAACAAAGAGAGATAAACTCCATTTTCTGGGTTCACACATTTCAAAGATCAATCATGGCAATAGAGCTAAGTGTTGTACCATGGGAAAGTTACTCAGACTATGTGAGAATTTCTCTATCTCAAGCTTGGAGATAAGTATTATACTTATGTCATACAGCTATTATAAGAATTAGATTAAATGGAGAATGTAAAACATTTAGCAGTGACTGGTGCATTGTAAATTTTGAAAAAAAAATGGTACTGTCGCTATTTTTATGACTGACATTATCTCTTCTTTTAAAAATTAGTAGAAAAAATTGTAAAATGGTATATAACCTGATTTTGATTTCTGTTCTCATGTTTTCATCAAATCTACACTGTGAGATATACTGCTACATTTCAGTTTTCTATGTTATCAAATTCTATGGATCCATGAGCCTGCTAAAACTCAACTGCATTTTCTAGTAGGAATTCTTGAAGTTGATCCTTTCCGGGGTCTACAAATTCAAAACTATTTTCATAATGATACTTAGGTGTCATTTGCATTTTTCTCTTCCATTCTCACACATTAGATTCTTCCAAATATAGAGGGTAGTTTTCAAGGGGCTACATGACATGTGATATAATGAGTGATATCACAACAATTCACCGCAGAAGCAGAATATATGAATCCAGCATCTTCTATTGAGCCAGACATGAAAAGAATTTGCAAAATGCAAAACAACGTGAATCTCTTCATTTTTCTAATGTAGCTTTAAAAATATAGCTTTCAAACTGTTTTACTTATGGGTACATATAAGGAGCTTATTATAGTTTATTTCAATAAATTAATAAATAAACATCTTTTACTTTTCTCAGTTTTAATTTCTAGTATGGTAAATATAAGTGGATAGTAGTAACCCCATAAAATCAAGCTTTTGAGTTCTCAATAATATTGAAGAGAGCAAAGGGGTTCTGAGTCTGAAAAAAAGTTTAATAACCATTTAGGTTTCAATTACAATTCTTTCTTCATGAATGCGTTGTATTGCGGTATATTACAAAAGTTCCTGGCTTCAGTAAAAGCTTCACCACTCTAGTCACAGTAAAGATTTGCAATATGTGCAGCCTGTTGTTTCTTTTTGCATCCCCTGGTGAAGACAGACACATGTACTTTGTCTTTTCCAGGTCGATTGTTAATCTAATGGAGTATAGAGGCTCTAGAAAGTGATCCATAATTTGTTTGTTCCTTGTGAGCTTTCTTTTTGCTTTGTTTTTCTTTCTATACAGAGAAAGGACGTAAGCAAGAATTACTTGCAGTCTTGTAAAAGGGAAGTATTTCCTGGAGGAATTTCTAGTCAATACTGCACCTTTAAATACATGAAATAGACTGAGAAAAAAGTGGATATAATGCACATTGCTGTCTCTTGAGGCTATCTGCTGAAGAATAACCATGTACCAAGATAATATAATTGTATCATTTCTTATATATAGCGTATATGTTACGTAATTTATATCAACAATAAAATGTGGCTAATTTGTAATTATTGGATGGATAACGATGGCAAAAGATAGCAATAAAAGCTATTTTGTGGTGATGTTTGTCGTTCTCTGTTTAAATTGCCATTGCTTTAACATTCAAATTATAGTCAAGAGCAAATTATAATCATATGATGCAGTGATTTGGTAACCAATCAAAAGATAATTCAGTAAGTTTTAGTGTTATAAAGTCCTTCATTGGTTGATATTATTATTTTCACCTTATAAAGATGCTGAGATTATTTTTTTTGAAATATAGAAAAAAATATCTTTTTTAGCTAAAGAAAAATATAAGCAAGAATAGATAGATAGTCCATATTGCATGTCTCATCTTGAATAACTTAGCAGGGAAAGGTTTTGGTTCACGAATGTTCCTGTTTTATATCTTTGTCTCTGGAGTTGAAAACTTTTTCACACCCAAAGCTCCTCCCCTCCTCCCCTGCACGCACATGCACTCTCTCTTTCTCTCTCAAAATAAATAAGTAATGAAAACTTACTTTCATTCTCACTAGAAAGTTTTTTGCAAGTGGTCATGCCAGGCTCTTTACTGGGCACTATTAATTCAGCAAGTGGGTACTATTTGACTGGTCAGAGCGACATTATGTAAAACCAGTCCTTTTGAGTCAGTATACCATTTCCTGAACTTCCAAAGATATGCTGAAAAAGCCGAATACAAATCTGCATGATTAATATCACATTTAGTGATTAACATAGCAAAGGTTATAATAGAATATTTTTGTTATATAATTAATATTAGTTAGAATTATGTATATCTTTGTATATACACCCATGACTATATATATATATATATATACACACATTTAGCATACATAAATATGTATATGTATATACACATACATCTGCAAATGGATATCTCTTGTCAGATCACAATTGTGATGTGAAAACTTTTTAATGAAATAATTTAAAACACTCAAAAGGCCAGGTTGATGTTAGTATTTAAAGCAAGGGTAGAGAACTGGCTAATGAAAATATTGAGAGCTTGATCATGGTTTAATTGGCATCGTGTACTGACCGTTAGAAGGCATGGTCTCTACCTCTCCACAATGCTGTAACTTTCTAAGTTTCATGAATTTAGAAGTTTATGCTCTGAAAATCCTTTTTAATTTTAAATAACTTCTCAATATTACTGTGAGGCAGCATTCTGGTCTTGAGAACCTTAGCATTTTTTTTTCTCTAAAAATATACAAGAAGCTTATGGAACTCGCAAAGTTGGTATATATTAGTCTATATTTTTCAAACTCCCTTACAATGCATAGTAGTTAGGCCAATGAAATAAGAATAATTTCAGGCTGAAGAAGTTAAAAACTGACCTGTTTGCCATATCTCTTTTTCCCCAGTTTGGTGACATTACAGATCACAAAGCTTTGCGATCAGATCATGGTGTAACATGTAAGCTTTTTGTAAGATTTCCCTGCAATTTTCTATTTGTGTCTTGTGTTGGTAGGTGTTAATTATATTGATTTGTTTCAATCATTTCCATATTGTTGTTTGAGTAGATTCATAAATATTTACAAAGATTAGAAAGGACAATCTTTAATAACATAGAAATTATATTTTTGACTTTCAAATCATTAGATGTCATGTAAATCCACTATATCCCAAAGTAGCCTTTATTCAATATTGATCCCATAGATATTCATCAAAATAATTCCATGTTCTAACAAATTTAGGAAACGCTCTCCTATATAACGAACCACCTTACATCTGTGTTAGGCGCTTGAAATTAGCATATTAAAAGTTAAGATTAATTCATCAGTGAATAAAATGGCTTAATTTCCTTTAATTCAGCGCTTATACAAACCAAAACACATATTATTAAGTTAGGCCATATAATATATTCCTAAATTGCTGTTTACAAACAAATATTAATATACAATTTATTAGATTACATTTTATTACAAGATCATAAAAATGTTGTGGAATAAAACCAGTCGGTCTTTTAATGTGTATTTTCAAATCACATCATAAAGTCAGTTATCGACAAGAATGACTTAGACTTTAACTTACTAGATTGAAATTTTCTTTAGGGAAAATATTCCAGTCTTTATATTTCCAGTATTTTCAAAGTGCTTTACATTTAATAGGCTCTTTAAAATATTTGTCATTAAATGAAGTGGATATTTCCTCTCTTAATCATGTCTTCCTGCACTCCTGCAAGCCAAAATGATGGCTAGAAAAGGAGTGGAAGAACCCATAGAAAGTAGAGGACGCTGTGCTTCAAGCTTAAATATCTGTGTAATTAGTATGATAATACACATTAAATTCAGTAAAATCAATTCAGATTACAAAACCCTGGCTAAGCTAGATTCTGATGTTAATGTTTAAAAAAATAATTTTTCAGTTATAAAATTTTATAGTTTTAATACTTGCCTAGAAGTAAAATGACATTATGAGAGGTTTATCATTTTTAACTCTTTTCAATATTAATCTTAAAATGCCAGAAACTGGAATTCCTCAGCTGATTTTCTCTTGGATAAATTTCTCTTGGCCACGACAATGACACAAGCATACAAACAAAGAGCATTACTACATGTGGAAATAAAAATGGCTCTCAGAGTTATGTAGTTCATATTTGTTATTTTCGATCCTTTAAAAACAAAAGTAGAAAAATTAATTTGGAAGCTTCAGTTGGCTATTACTTTAATTACTTTTTATGAAATAATTGTACATACTGTTAGTATTCAGTGATTTCTCAAGCTGGCCACCATTACTATTATTATATGCAATCATTTCTAATTGTAATGCCTTGCCAATAACTGCAGCATTGTAAAAAATAATTTACAGATGACTATGAATCTAAATCAGGCATATTGTTTTCTCAAATATACTGTGTTAAATCTTGTTTATTCTAAGAAACAACAAAGGACTCTGATGATAATTGCACCTGAAATAAAAGATTTTAAAACCTTTACCCAAAGACATTTACTTATACAGGTCTTCAAATTATCTGTGAAATAGACTAAATGGCTATTACTCCTCAAGATATAGTCTCTGTCAAACAAAGTTATGAAAAGTAAGCAAATCACTGGTTGATGGAAAATAATTATTGAGAGTATACATTTAAAAAAACTAACAGAGGAAAATTTTAAATAGATAAAAATGGTTTCATGTAATGAACCTCAGGGTCATTTAAATTAATCTGGAGGTCTCCTATAATTTTAAGGGTAGCCTGAAAAATATCATATTATTATTTCATATTCAAATCATAAAATAATCATGTTCACGATTGTTATCATAGTCAAGTTATAAGAAAGCATTGTTTCACATACTTTGAGGACATTCATATATCACAAATTTGCAAGGGGAGTGACAACTGTATTTCAAGCAATATGTTAGAAAATCTGGCTCAAAGTAGTAAAATAATACGTCCAGTTTTTACCAGCAATTAACCAGCAAAAGTCAGATCTGTGCTACCTGATCTCTGACTACTTAAGTGTTGTTCCTTGCATTTCGATAACATGAAATCAATTTTAAAAATTTCAGGAGATATATTATGTGATTTCAAGAGGGAAGAGAATATAAAGAAATGTTTAACAGACATGTTAACGCTAGTTTCAACAATGATTACATTTGTATGTTCAGCTGTGAACTACCTAAGTGGAATAAAATGAGAAGGTATAGTTACACTAGAACCTCTTTAGAAAACCAGACTTTGAAGAAGCCCATACAAAAGATTTGAGAAGCAACAAATACCAACGGGGGGAAATGGTGGCATGCCTCATCATTGAGAACAAAACTGAGATGCTTCAATTCTCAAATTACTTGAAGCTTGTGAGACACAGCCCTCACAGGTGGCAATGACTCCAATTCATTAGGAAGCCCATTATAATGAGGGAAGAAAAAGTTTGTATAGGATCAAGTGTGAGGCAATATTTTGGTCATTGCTTACCAGAACTCTAATGATGACTTACTACATTTTTCTCCTAAGAATTTAAGTCAAGCACATGAGTACCTGGCCAAATGCATTCTCCCTGGTTTTTATGAATAAGAAAAATAATAACAATAATAAATGGAAGTGGAAACTGCTTATTCAGTATAGACTATGTTTAAGGAACTGGTAATAACCCTACTGGGTAGTACCAACTAAACTTATATTTGAGATGAGAAAATTGGGACATTAAGGGGCCCTTGATTATATGGTAGTGGAATCTAGATTTGAATCTAGATCCTTCAAGTTTACCATCCATTTTCTTAAATAATTTATTACATTTCCTTGATAAGGTAATAGTTTTTATAATTTTTCTTTTTCTAATCGAAATCAGGGTTTATTATGGAAGTTAATGTTTAAGTTTGCCTTTATTTTTTGACATAATTTTAAACTCTTAAAAGCATTTCAATATATTATAATGTACCTCCCTGGTTATACATCAATAATAAATCAAGCTGATGAGGAGTAATAAATATTTTAATGGTAACAGTTTCACAAAATAATATTGATTTATAGTCAAATGAAAATATTGAGTCAACATAAAAATGAATAAGGTAATTATTAAACATAGTCAACAAAACTACTAAAAATTAAACAAAATAATCACAATATAAAAATAATGGAATTTAGTACCTTCTTCTCTCCATAATATGTTAGCTACTGCAGCATGTTAAAAAGAAAAAGGAGAGAAAGAAAAATGAGTAAATAGAGGTTCAATTGCATACTAATATAAATAACTATTAAAGAGGTCACAATCTCTAAGCTAGAACATGTACATAAAAGTGATGTTGAATTCAACAAACTACTTCGAATTAACAAAACAGTAAAATGCTGGTACTAGCTAATAATGCTCTTTTCATTTACTGAAATTGTTGATTCTTCTTTGTAATAAAGATGTTGCTAATAAACAAAAAACATTTTACGCATCGCTGGAAAGAATGGGATAGTTAGGTTAATGTTATTGAAATACATCTTTAGAACAAATATTGGTAGTTAAAACTATTTACTAAAGACAGTATAGTTAAAAGTTGCTAACTGAAAAAAAATGTATTTTAAAAATTCCCAATAATCACAATATGTAATATAACTACATAATATGCAATATTCCTGAGCAAGAAGAATTCTTGTAATTAAAGGATTTTGAACATGGCAGTAGCCTATTTTTAAGTAGCATTCTTTCACTTTTTAAACCAAACAGAATTGAATATAGTAAAACCTTGGTTTGCAAGCATAATTCGTTCCACAAACATGCTTGTAATTCAAAGCACTTTTATATCAAAACAAATTTCAAGACCCATTGACTCAGCTGCGATCATGTGACTTTCAGCATTGCATAATATTCATATTGCAAAACATTGCTCATTTATCAAGTTAAAATGTGTTAGAAATGTTTGCTCGTCTTGGAGAACACTCACAGAACAAGTTACTGGTAATCCAAGGTTTTACTGTATTTCTAACTATATCTTACTTAGTTCAGTGCACAATAATGGTTCAGATTAAATTGTTTTTGGAAAATAGTTTTATTAAATATTATACTGAGATTAAATCAATAGAGTTAAAATATTGAGATAGAAATAATGAAATAAATACCAATCAGAAACATTCTCAGAGAAATGTCTGCCTCCATTACCAATTCAACGTTGCCCAAATTTTATGCTTTCTAAGCAAAATAAGATGTCAAAACAAAGTGTGACTGATGTAAAATCTCATGCACAATTAAATATTCCCTGAATATTTTAGCCATATTAAAGCACTTTTTTTTTTAACGAAAGCCCTTTATGAATGCAGCAAAGCCAACACGGTAGTCCAGCACTCTTAGACAGATGCTGACGGACCAAGTCATCCAGTTTTCAAAACCTGCTGTATTTTTTAAAAATAAATTTGTGTAAAGTAAGCTTTTTTTTGTAATTCTTGGCATTTTTAATTCTTTATGATTATTTATCCAAATCTGAATGCATGCTATATGCTTCCCTTCAGGACATTTTGTGGTGCTATTCTTGTTGTCTACAGTGTTCTTGAAATGAATATGAAAATGATAGATCCTATTTGTGAGGAGAGGACACAGACCTCAGTTACCAGCAGTTAACCTCGGTCTGGAAGTAGATGATCCTGCTCCGGAAGTACCATCAGAATATCAGTGGTAGTCTCAGTGTCTATCTATGTCATTCACCTCACTTCCTCTCATCACATAGGCATTCTATCATCTCACATCATCACAAGAAGAAGGATGGCGAGTGTGGTGCAAAGAGATATTTTAAGAGAGAGACAGATAGGGAGAAACCACATTTTCACAACTTTTGTTATAGTATATTATTAAAATTATTTTGTTATTATTGTTGCTAACCTTTTGGTGTGCCTGATTTCTAAATTAAATTTTATCTTAGGTGTGTATAGGTAAGAAAACACAGTGCACCTAGGGTACAGTGCTATAACTGGTTTCAGGCATCTGCTGGAGGTCTTGGAACATATCCCCTACATAAGAGAGAACTAACTACTGTATTCAGAGAAATTTAAGTAACTGAGTCTATTTGAAGCACAAAAGAAGATAAGGCTGGAGAATTTTTCCATGAGTAGATGAACAAAGTCTTTTGTACACCATGCAGCAGATATTAAATTTTCTTCTGTAGGCTCAGGAAAGGCTGAGCCATGATTAGACTTATCTTTGTATGGGTGGGGTTTTTTTGTTTGTTTATTGAAAAAAGGGGGGTGACTAGACACATTTCGTCATATCTCCATTCATTCTCTCAATGAGTACTGACTGAGTGCCTAGCATGTGTCATTGTGTTCAGTGATATAGGACACAAATTAGAACAGGCCTAGTCTCTCTGTTAATAGAGCTAATGTTCTAATTGAGAAAAAATTTTTAAATTATAGATTTAATGTGTTATAAAAGAGAAGAACATTTCTGTGAATGCTTTCAACAGGTGGATTAAGCATAGTGAAATATTGAAGGTGTAGTATACAAGATAAATAAAAGTGAACCGAGTGAGGATTTAAGGGTAGGTTTTCCAGATACTGGAAAAAGCCTGCACAAATTTTAGTGGTATACCAAAGTACTGCTATTTTAAAGGGCTAAGGACAGATATTTTTTAAAATAGGAAATCATTTATAAGAAAGTACCAAAAATACATGGTTTGTGATATTAACATCAAACAAGGCAAAATTCAAGGCACTGCATGCTGCACCTAAAATTATATAAACTAAAAACATACAATTAAAATATAAAGCAAAAGCTATTAGGATTGGATACAAAATTGATAAATCCACAATTATATTCTATTTCTATAACTATTCACTTGCAGTGTTTGAAAAATTAAGAGAAAAAAGACAAACTTTCAATAATATAATTATTAAAACTGAATTAGTATTTTTATAATAACTATCATACTATACAAACTGAATGTTGTATTATACAAACAAAAGTATTTTTTTCAGGCTTTCTGGAAAATATTTTCAAGAGTGCTCACAAACTAAACTAGAAAATAAAAAGTCTCTGTTTTGTAGATATATTCCAGTCAGCATAAATAATTTAGATATTTTCAGACAATAATAAAGAAAATATGATAATCTATGAGAGGTGTTTAAATATATTTTATTTTATTTTATTTTACTTTATTTTATTTTATTTTATTTCATTTTATTTTATTTTATTTCAGAGAAAGAGAGAGAGAGAGCACATGAGTGGGGGAGAGGAGCAGAGAGGCAAAGGGAGATAGAGAATCTTAAGCAGAATCCATGCTCATCACAGAGCCCAACACAGGGATTGAGCCCACGACCCTGGGATCATGACCTGAGCTGAAATCAAGAGTTGGATGCTCAACCGACTGGGCCATCCAGGTGCCTTGAAAATCTATGAGAGGTGTTTAAACACACAAAATTCTTCAATAAATTATTACTTTTTAAAAAATCCAATATAATTACAATTCATATAAGACAACAAAGATGAGTATTCGATATATGGACCCAAAGAGTTTTGGCCAAAACGTAATACATAGACTTAATTGATTCATTATTGAGCCAAACAGAGAGGGGGAAGAGAGAGAGAGAGAAAGCAGAATTGGAAGCAGAAGCAGGAGGAAGAAAAAAGGAAGAGAAATATGGAGACAAGGAAGAAAGTAGGAATGAGTATAGTTATGATTTTAAAATATGGTAGAATTTTTTTGTAGTTTCAAGTTTTTAATTAAATTCTAGTAGTTAATATAATAGAGTAACATTAGTTTCAGGAGCGCAATTTGGTGATTCATCACTTTAATGTAAAATTTCTTGATAATAAATTTGATAATCTGGATTTCATTTAAAAAAAAAAAAATCCAAGGAGGGGCGCCTGGGTGGCTCAGTCAGTTGGGCATCTGACTTCGGCTCAGGTCATGATCTCGTGGTCCGTGAGTTTGAGCCCCGCATCAGGCTCTGGGCTGACAGCTCAGAGCCTGGAGCCTGTTTCGGATTCTGTGTCTCCCTCTCTCTCTGACCCTCCTCTGCTCATGCTCTGTCTCTCTCTGTCTCAAAAATAAATAAAACGCTAATAAAAATTTAAAAAAAAAATCCAAGGAAATATAAATATCCAAACTGAAAATGAAGAAAAATATGGAATAAAAATAACCGTGGTACTAACATGAAACATTTTTTTAAAGTTTTTATTTACTTATTTTGAGAGAGACAGAGACAGTGAAAGTGGGAGAGATCAGAGAGAGGGAGAGAGAGAATCCCAAGCAGGCTCCACACTGCCAGTGCAGGTCTCAAACCCATGAAGCTATGATATTATGACCTGAGGCAAAACCAAGAGTCAGACGCTTAACAGACTGAGCCACCCAGGCACCCAAAATTGCAATATTTTAAATGTTTATTTGTTTATTTTGAGAAAGAGAGAGAGAGTGGGGGAGGGGCAGAGAGAGGAAGAGAGAATCTGAAGCAGGCTCTGCACTGTCAGCGCAGAACCCCACACCCCAGGCGACTACGTGAACTGTGAGATCATGACCTGAGCTGAAATTAAGAGTTGGACACTCAACCAACTGAGCTACTCAGGGGTCCCTTAAATGTTTTTAGAGTATCAACCAAGATGGAAACATTTCATTTATTTTATAAAGTCAGCAAAAGAGATGCCAACAACTGATAATGGTAACAAAGCGAATTATAGGACAATTTCACTAATGACAAAAAATTATTTATAAAATGCAATCAAAACTAATCAGTATATTAAAAATTTGATCATAAGTGAGCCTGGGTGGCTCAGTCAGTTCAGCATCTGACTTCAGCTCAGGTTCATGATCTCGTGGCTCATGAGTTCAAGCCCTGCATTGAGCTCTGTGCTGACAGCTCAGAGCCTGGAACCTACTTTGGATTCTGTGTCTCCCTCTCTCTCTGCCCCTCCCCCACTCACAATCTCTCTTTCTCAAAAATAAACATTAAAAATTTTAAAAAACAAGTAAAAATAAATTAAAGCTTGATCATAGACAGGAATCCTTTTGGAATGAAAGACTATATTGGTAGGTATTTATTTAAGAAATTAATTAATTTAATGTAATATATTAGTAATATAAAGTGAGAATAATTAATGCAATATAACTAAATAAATATAATCTGATAGAGTGTGCCACCTATTACCAAGTATAGTCTAAATACTCTTAGTGACTGAGAAAACTATATATAGGGGGTATTACACT